CTGTGGCCGCGCCTTCAGCTGTGCCTCAGCCTGTGGGCCCAGGCCCGGACGATGCTGCATCTCTGCAGCTCCCTACAGGGGCATCTCCTGCTACCGCGGACTCTCAGGGGGCTTCGGCAGCCACAGCGTCTGTGGGGCCTTCCGCTCTGGTTCCTGTGGACGAAGCTTCGGATACCGCTCTGGAGGCATCTGCGGGCCCAGCCCACCCTGCATCACCACAGTCTCTGTCAATGAGAGCCTGCTCACTCCCCTCAACCTGGAGATCGACCCCAATGCTCAGTGTGTGAAGCATGAGGAGAAGGAGCAGATCAAGTGCCTCAACAGCAGGTTCGCGGCCTTCATCGACAAGGTGGGTGCCCTGGACCAGACCCTTCCTGGAGCACAGCATGTTACAGCCAAGGCTGGACACTGAGGGGAATGAGAGGCAGAAAGCCCTCTCCTACTGAGCCTCAAGTCTCAAGAGAGAGGATTCACAGAGCTCACCGGTCAGTCCTGAGAAGCAAAGTTTATGGCCAAGACAAGTAGCCATGATGTCCTGAGCACAAACTGACTACAGGGAGTCCCGGGGGCTGCAGCATGGAGCTGTGGACAGCCCAAGGAGAGAGGCTGCACTTGGGCTGACAGGAAGGGTGCAGACTAACTGGAGGAAGGGGCTTCCTAGTGAGAGCCTCTAAGTGGCCTGTGATACCATCTCCCTGGCTCCTTGTCAGTCCCTGGGTTGTGCATATGGGTGCTCTGCTTGTGGGGACTCTTGCCTTCCTAGCTTCAGAGGTACTTGCTGAGCCCAGCATAGGACACTGAAGTGTCCAACCGGACTCCTGAGTGTAAGCACTGACCGTGTTCCTTGTGTCCTCTCCCAGTGGGAAAGCTAGGCAGGGACAAGATAAGGGAGTGTAGACTTGGGGTCCTTCCCAGAGCCCCTGTACTTCATCTCTGCCATCAGCTCAGATGTGCCCCTGAACCCCTTCTCCCTCCCATGGCAGGTGCGCTTCCTGGAGCAGCAGAACAAGCTGCTGGAGACCAAGTGGCAGTTCTACCAGAACCGCAAGTGCTGTGAGAGCAATGTGGAGCCTCTGTTCGAGGGCTACATCGAGACACTGAGGCGTGAGGCTGAGTGCGTGGAGGCCGACAGTGGGAGGCTGGCTGCTGAGCTTAACCATGCTCAGGAGGCCATGGAGGGCTACAAGAAGAGGTGAGAATGGCCTGGTGTGGTGCTGGTCTATGTGCCTTACAGCAACGCCCAGACATGGAAGGATAGCTAGGCCGACGTCATTGTAGGATCCTGCTGTCTGCGAAATAGTTGTACAAATGTTCCTTGGAGAGGACTGGAGAGTGTCAGAGTAGAAAATTTGTGCCTCAGTCTTCCCTCTGCAGATTGAGACTGGCAGCTTTCTCTCAGGGTGACAGACACAGCTCCGACGCCAGCTCTTTCTCACTTTGATTCTCTGCACTGAAGCCCCAGAACAGATTCTGTTCAGGAAAGTAGGAGGGCCATGAGCTACGCTGTTAGTTGCACTGTCTTGGGTACTCAGCCCTGGAATCTGGGTCTGTCCAGCAGCTGGGCTGGGACTGATGTGCAAATGGGGGGGGGAGGTTGGAGCTGTCGTACCCAAGACCCCATGATGTCTACTCCTAGATCAAATTGGGATCAAATCCTCATTTCCTTCCTCAGCTGACATCATAACAGCACTGGGAGGTTCCCTTAAAACCCTCCTCAACTCCAAAATAGCCCAGGTCCCTCCAGAAATACCTACCAGGGCAAAGAGTTCTGAGGGCAGTGAGCCCTCATGGAGTGTGAGTTTCCACACTCCACCTCATGGCACGTCTCTTTGTCCTAGGTATGAGGAGGAAGTTTCCCTGAGAGCTACAGCTGAGAATGAGTTTGTGGCTCTGAAGAAGGCAAGTAGCAGGCGGTGGGTGGCAGAGCTACACACCTGATGGACACACTGTGCTTGTGGTGACCCCCCAAGGCTTAACCTTCAGGGATTTTGGCCTTTTCATATCAAAATAGGAAAATTCTCAGAGAGCTGGACCAATGAATGTCAGACCCAGGGCTGTGACAAAGGGCTGTTTTGAGGGTAGCAGCCATTTAAAAGGTTGGCATCTAGAAAGTCAGTCATTCCAATCATAAAGGACCATGAATCAGTTTGGAATGTCTACTGTCTCCTTCTGATCGGATGCAGGATCTTGGCTGTGTTCACCTTGATCTATCTTTCCCTCATTCTGGGGTGTATGGTTGGGTTTCCAGCAGCCACAGGGCTTCATTATGTTCATTGAAAGTGGTGTGGTCTACATCTCTTCTACAAATCTGACCAGGATGTTAGGGCCCAAGAAAATGTGTAAGGGTGGAGAGGGTCACTAGGAGTGGCCAGTTGGCCTCTTGAAGCACTGCTGGTTCAGTTGGAAGATCTGGAAGCCAACTGTGAAGCATTTTAGAACAGAACAGAACCCCAAAGAGCAAGAGGAGGGAAGATGTCTTGGGGACTGAGAGGCAGAGAGTCTCCAAACCCAAGGAACTGTCAAGTGCATGCTGGGAAGAGGGAGCAGAGATGATCACACACAGGGATCGTTGTCTGCTGTGCTTCCTGGGATGGATGACAAGAGAGAAGAATTTAGGACACAATCAGCTGAGTGAGTCAGGCTCACACCTCCCTCTTTCCCAGGATGTGGACTGTGCCTACCTGCGCAAGTCAGACCTGGAGGCCAACACAGAGGCGCTGACCCAGGAGATCGACTTCCTGAGGCGACTGTATGAGGAGGTGAGGACAGCAGCCAGGTGGAAGCCTAACAAGTAGTCTTTGCATGACTGTGAAGTCCTGTGTGGACAGGGCAAGTCTGAGAGGTTGGCACAGGTAT